TCTCTCCTAGAATCTTAACGTAACTGGACCTCTGGCTCTCTCCTAGAATCTTAACGTAACTGGACCTCTGGCTCTCTCCTAGAATCTTAACGTAACTTGACCTCTGGCTCTCTCCTAGAATCTTAATGTACCTTGGCCTCTGGCTCTCTCCTAGAATCTTAACGTAACTTGGCCTCTGGCTCTCTCCTAGAATCTTAACGTAACTTGACCTCTGGCTCTCTCCTAGCCTCTTAACGTAACTTGACCTCTGACTCCTCCTAGCCTCTTTAACGTAACATGACCTCTGACTTTCTCCTAGCCCTTAACGTAACTTGACCTCTGACTCTCTCCTAGCCTCTTAACGTAACTTGACCTCTGACTCTCTCCTAGCCTCTTAACGTAACTTGACCTCTGACTCTCTCCTAGCCTCTTAACGTAACTTGCCTCTGACTCTCTCCTAGCCTCTTAACATAACTTGACCTCTGACTCTCTCCTAGCCTCTTAACGAAAACTTGACCTCTGACTCTCTCCTAGCCTCTTAACGTAACTTGCCCTCTGACTCCCCTCCTAGCCTTTTAAACGTAATTTGACCTCTGACTCTCTCCTAGCCTTTTAACGTAATTTGACCTCTGACTCTTTCCTAGCTCTTAACGTAACTTGACCTCTGACTCTCTCCAGCCTCTTAAACGTAACTTGACCTCTGACTCTGTCCTGGCCTCTTAACGTAACTTGACCTCTGACTCTCTCCTAGCCTCTTAACGTAACTTGACCTCTGACTCTTTCCTAGCTCTTAACGTAACTTGACCTCTGACTCTCTCCTAGCCTCTTAACGTAACTTGACCTCTGACTCTGTCCTGGCCTCTAACGAAAATTTGACCTCTGACTCTCTCCTAGCCTCTTAACGTAACTTGACCTCTGACTCTTCCTACCTTTTAAACGTAACTTGACCTCTGACTCTCTCCTAGCCTCTTAACGTAACTTGACCTCTGACTCTCTCCTAGCCTCTTAACGTAACTTGACCTCTGACTCTTTCCTAGCCTCTTAACGTAACTTGACCTCTGACTCTTTCCCTAGCCTCTTAACGTAACTTGACCTCTGACTCTCTCCTAGCCTCTTAACGTAACTTGACCTCTGACTCTCTCCTAGCCTCTTAACGTAACTTAAACCTCTGACTCTCTCCTAGCCTCTTAACGTAACTTGACCTCTGACTCTCTCCTAGCCTCTTAACGTTAACTTGACCTCTGACTCTCTCCTAGCCTCTTAACATAACTTGACCTCTGACTCTCTCCTAGCCTTTTAACTAACTTGACCTCTGACTCTCTCCTAGCCTCTTAACGTAACTTGACCTCTGACTCTCTCCTACCTTTAACGTAACTTGACCTCTGACTCTTTGCTAGCCTCTTAACGTAACTTGACCTTTGGAATCTCTCCTACCTTTTAAAACGTAAATTGACCTCTGAACCCTCTCTCTTAGCCTCTTAACGTAACTTGACCTCTGACTCTCTCCTAGCCTTTAACGTAACTTGACCTCTGACTCTCCTAGCCTCTTAAACGTAACTTGCCCTCTGACTCTCTCCTAGCCTCTTAACGTAACTTGACCTCTGACTCTCTCCTAGCCTCTTAACGTAACTTGACCTCTGACTCTTTCCTACCTTTTAAAAACGTAACTTGACCTCTGACTCCCCTTCCTAGCCTCTTAACGTAACTTGACCTCCGACTACTCTCCTTATCCTCTTAACGTAAACTTGACCTCTGACTCTCTCCTAGCCTCTTAACGTAACTTGACCTCTGACTCTCTCCTAGCCTCTTAACGTAACTTGACCTCTGACTCTCTCCTAGCCTCTTAACGAAAACTTGACCTCTGACTCTCTCCTAGCCTCTTAACGTAACTTGACCTCTGACTCTCCCCTAGCCTCTTAATGTAACTTGACCTCTGGCTCTCTCCTAGCCTCTTAACGTAACTTGACCTCTGACTCTCTCCTACCCTCTTAACGTAATTTTGACCTCTGAACTCTTCCCTAGCCTCTTAACGTAACTTGACCTCTGGCTCTCTCCTAGCCTCTTAAGTAACTTGACCCTCTGACTCTCTCCTAGCCTCTTAACGTAACTTGACCTCTGACTCCCCTCCTGGCCTCTTAACTAACTTAAACCTCTGACTCTCTCCTAGCCTTTTAACGTAACTTGACCTCTGACTCTCTCCTAGCCTCTTAACGTAACTTGACCTCTGGCTCTCTCCTACCCTCTTAACGTAACTTGACCTCTGACTCTCTCCTGCCTTTTAACGAAAACTTGACCTCTGACTCTCTCCTAGCCTCTTAACGTAACTTGACCTCTGACTCTCTCCTAGCCTCTTAACGTAACTTGACCTCTGACTCTCTCCTAGCCTCTTAACGTAACTTGACCTCTGACTCTCTCCTAGCCTCTTAACGTAACTTGACCTCTGACTCTCTCCTAGCCTCTTAACGTAACTTGACCTCTGACTCTCTCCTGGCCTCTTAACGTAACTTAAACCTTTTGACTCTCTCCTAGCCTCTTAACGTAACTTGACCTCTGACTCTCATCCTAGCCTCTTAACGTAACTTGACCTCTGACTCTTTGCTAGCCTCTTAACGTAACTTGACCTTTGACTCTCTCCTAGCCTCTTAACGTAAATTGACCTCTGAATCTCTCTCTTAGCCTCTTAACGTAACTTGACCTCTGACTCTCTCCTAGCCTCTTAACGTAACTTGACCTCTGACTCTCTCCTAGCCTCTTAACGTACTTGACTCTGACTCTCTCCTAGCCTCTTAACGTAACTTGACCTCTGACTCTCTCCTAGCCTCTTAACGTAACTTGACCTCTGACTCTTTCCTAGCCTCTTAACGTAACTTGACCTCTGACTCTCCTAGCCTCTTAACGTAACTTGACCTCCGACTCTCTCCTATCCTCTTAACGTACTGACCTCTGACTCTCTCCTAGCCTCTTAACGTAACTTGACCTCTGACTCTCTCCTAGCCTCTTAACGTAACTTGACCTCTGACTCTCTCCTAGCCTCTTAACGTAACTTGACCTCTGACTCTCTCCTAGCCTCTTAAACGTAACTTGACCTCTGACTCTCTCCTAGCCTCTTAATGTAACTTGACCTCTGGCTCTCTCTAGCCTCTTAACGAACTTGACCTCTGACTCGTCTCCTAGCCTCTTAACGTAACTTGACCTCTGACTCTTTCCTAGCCTCTTACGTAACTTGACCTCTGGCTCTCTCCTAGCCTACTTAAAACGTAACTTGACCTCTGACTCTCTCCTAGCCTCTTAACGTAACTTGACCTCTGACCTCTCCTGGCCTCTTAACGTAACTTGACCTCTGACTCTCTCCTAGCCTCTTAAACGTAACTGTGACCTCTGACTCTCTCCTAGCCTCTTAACGTACTTGACCTCGTGCTCTCTCCTACCCTCTTAACGTAACTTGACCTCTGACTCTCTCCTAGCCTCTTAACGTAACTTGACCTCTGACTCTCTCCTAGCCTCTTAACGTAACTTGACCTCTGACTCTCTCCTAGCCTCTTAACGTAACTTGACCTCTGACTCTCTCCTAGCCTCTTACGTAACTTGACCTCTGACCTCTCCTAGCCTCTTAACGTAACTGACCTCTGACTCTCTCCTAGCCTCTTAACGTAACTTGACCTCTGACTCTCTCCTGGCCTCTTAACGTAACTTGACCTCTGACTCTCTCCTAGCCTCTTAACGTAACTTGACCTCTGACTCTCTCCTAGCCTCTTAACGTAACTTGACCTCTGGCTCTCTCCTACCCTCTTAACGTAACTTGACCTCTGACTCTCTCCTAGCCTCTTAACGTAACTTGACCTCGTGACTCTCTCCTAGCCTCTTAACGTACTTGACCTCTGACTCTCTCCTAGCCTCTTAACGTAACTTGACCTCTGACTCTCTCCTAGCCTCTTAACGTAAGTTGACCTCTGACTCTCTCCTAGCCTCTTAACGTAACTTGACCTCTGGTTTACTCCACTTTCCTCTCAGTCAAGACTTAATAATGGTCCAGGATGGACTGAAACGTCTTCTAAACATTTATCTTCATTATGTACATCACTTATAAAATGAAATAGTTGGTATTAATCTTGGTTTAAATATTGATGCACCAGACACATGTACAACATCAATGTATCTTAACTTATAGATGTTTCACCATCCAGTGAGCTGTATCAGTATAATACAGGTGTTAAGGGCAATATTAATGTTTAATATTTTCCAAAACTTTTGAATTACGTGTTGCTAGATTATTAAATATATCATTGGTTGGTAATTTTTGTTAGGAAACAGGACAAGTGTTTCCTGACGCGGGTCTCAGTCATATGCTGACCCACAGCTGGAGCTTTTGGTCACCTGACCGAGGCCTTTCACTGACTTGCCGGTTCACCTCTTTAAAAATTAAGGTTATAATTATAGACTTTTTATAAATATATCATTGACGGTGCAGTAGTAAATTATACAGGTGTTGATGAGTGAGTTGTTAAGAGACTGGGGAGAAGATGGCTTCCAGAAGCATATAGCAAACCTGCGTCAATTTTATCGTGACCAGAGGAATAACATGGTACAAGCTGCCCAGACACATCTCACAGGTATGATCAAACACTCGTGTATATATATACACATTTGAGTGCATATATATAGTATATATAATATATATATATATATATATATATATATATATATATATATATATATATATACATATGTGTGTGTGATGGGAGTGTGTGTGTGTGTGTGTGTGTGTGTGTGTGTGTGTGTGTGTGTGTGTGGTGTGTGTATGTGTACCATATGAGAAAATTAACAATATTTATCATATAAAGTAACAGACTATGTTCAAAACTTTTAACCAAATTTATACAGTAATTTAAATGCAATGTTAAGTATTAACATCAAATATTATCAGCGTAATAAATACATATATCTTGACAGGTTTGTGTGAATGGACGGTTCCTAAGGGAGGTATTTTCTTATGGCTTAAGGTAAGTCCTGCTTAATATACTTGTACAGTGCTTGATGTATAAACTTTTTAGGGTTATACCATAATTTATTGAAGTAATATAAGTGGTAGGGCAACATAGAACCGTCTAACATCATACTGTAAGAGTCTAACGTAAGAAATATATAAATATGAGTGTTGTTGTATAGCTTCTTTCCTCGTTGGGCTCAGAAAGCTTGTCATCATTTCCCAAAATGACTGTCTTTTTCATAGCTTTAACAGCTTCTTTTTTCTTAACTACACCGTCATATCTAACCTTCCACGGCATTGTGCTGGCACTGGGCAAGATCTGAACTGAACTGAGGACTCACAGGTAAGGGCCCACTAGGCGCGAGGGGTAAGTGGGGACAGGATGAAGAAGATAGTTGTGGAGAGGAAAAAATCTTAAGGAGGAAAAGTGTCAGGACTATACCCAACAGCTAATCAATGAAAACATAATATTCAGCATTATCTCTCTCGTGAGCATATCAACTTGCAATGACTGGATACGGCTCAGGCACGTGTTACTGTAAAAGGCGACGCAAACGCACGTCGCAAGCACTTCAGCTCAAAACTCACAAAGACACAGCTCTATGACAATGGCACTTTTAAGTTATTGGAATATTTAGGCTAATTAAGTCAGGTAGTTTATTTGTATTGTGATGGAGGTGCCGGGTCATACAACGTTTGAAAGAGATTTACATCATTATAAGGACGTCTGAGAGTATCTGCTAAGTATGTAGTCCAGTGGTCATGATATGTTTCAAGTCTGTCAAGTTGTTTGTCGCTGAGTGTCTTCCAGTATACGTTCAAAGCTGGTGTGTTTGTCGTGACGTGGAGAGATTCAATGGTGGCAAATTCGTCCCACCTCACTCCCAACACCCAACGTAATGCTCGATTCTGGATGCGTTGGAATTTTAGTGCGTTTGTCTTGGCGGTTAACGTCAGAGCGAGTGGAGAGTAAGAGAGTAGAGGTCGAATGAGTGCTTTGTAGAGATGTAGTTTTGTCTTGGGACTGGCTCCTCTCAGCTTATATAACCTTGAGAGCGCAATTCCCGCCTGTGCAGTCTTAGCAGTAATGTGAGATTTTAGGTTCAGTGTGTTGTCGAGGGTAACACCAAGGACAACTGTTGAGGAGCGTGGGATGGGGGTACGGGAGGTGCTTGTTTTGAGTTCGACAGGAGTCGGGACATCGCGCCTTCTATGGAAGTAAGTGATCTTTGACTTATTTGGGTTGGTTTTGATGCGCCATAATAATTCCCAGGCGGTAATCCTGTCGACCTCTCTTTGTGTTCTGCGTGCTAGGAAACGAATGTTTTCATGTGTTGTGAGTTGAGTGATGTCGTCTGCGTAAGAAAGGGTAAGTGTGTTTGGGTAAAGAGGTTCAGGTAAATCATTCGTGTAGAGTATATTTAGGGTGGGAGATAGGACAGAGCCTTGGGGTACACCCGCTTTTAATGTGAAATAGTCAGCAAGATACATCATAATTTCGCAGTTTATCTTAGCGAGTAGAAAGATGATTTAGATTTTTAGATTTTGCCACCGAAGTGGCTAGTTTATTGTGCACCCCATATCCATCCTGTGGACGGTAGCGCAAGAGCATATGGATACACAAAAAGCCTAGGAACTAGGCCGCAAAAGGGTTAACAGGTATACATATGGATTTATATCTGCATATCTGCAGTTCACTTATCTGTTACAAGCAAATTTAGGAAATTTGCTTAGTATATTTGGTATCTTATTTTCATTAATAAGATATTTTGACATGACATATAGATTATCATACTGTCTGTCTCTGTATTCCTCAATAAGTGGACAATTAAGCACATAGTGTTCAAGACAGTGGCCATATGCCTGATCACATAATTTGCATTTAGTTTGATCATCACCTGTGTGTCTCCCAAACTGCCAGAAGTACTTGTAACCAAGCCTAAGCCTAGTTACTACAACATCAGTCAGTACTTGTAACCAAGCCTAAGCCTGGCCACTACAACATCAGTCAGTCTGTTCACGTTGCAAGTTGCTACCATATCAATTAATACTTATCTACGTTCATAGTTATCATCAGATCTACTGCAAGTTGCTCCTAACATACATTCTATATACAATCTCATTTAAATCATTATTTACTTCTCTCCTAATATTATTCCTAATGCTAGACACAGATATACCAAAGTTATATTCTACATTCTCTTCTCGGGTACTCTTCTCGGCTAACATATCAACTTTATCATGAAGAAGTAATCCAATGTGTGATGGGATCCATAGCAATTGTACATTAATTCCTTTGTCCCTGATTTTTGAGTATCTGTACCTGGCTTCTCCAATGAGCATGAAAGATGACACTTATGAACTGATAAGATTCTACCTGCCTCCCTACTCTTTATTTTATACTGTTTTCCTTTCGCTATTTTACTAACGCTAATGGTCAGTGCTTTTATTTATTTACTCATTTAATGTTGACTTGATAGTATTGTTAGACAGCGGGATTGACTTCATTAACTGAATCATCGTTGAGGACAAGTTTTACACAGTCAAGGATAAAAGGTTTCATCAGGATTTCTCCAGTTGTAAAGGTCTTCTTATTCTTGGCTATATGCAGAACAATTACACATAATCTTGTGTGTTGGTAGCCTTCGAAGTCTGTTGGATGGATCCACAACCATCCAGCCTTTGTTAGTTTCTTCAAGTCATTGTGTTCCTGCTTAAAAAATGTTCGATCCTTTTGAGGTAACCTCGAGCGATGTTTTTTCGGTATGCTGTTTTAACTGAATGGTTTCATGGAATCATTTGCCAGAACTTTGTGTCATATTACACATTGAGGTAGTTCTGTGTCATCTTTCACAATGTAGGAAATGGTGATGGTGATGAATGACCAGTACGACAGCTGTGAAGGACGTATACCATAGTTAAGAGATACACGTTAGGTAAGGTTTGTCAGGAAACAGGACAAGTGTTTCCTGACGCTGGTTTTGGTCATATAATGACCCGCAGCTGGAGCTTTTGGTCATCTGACCGAGTCCTTCCGCTGACTTACGGTCCACCCCCTTAAAAATTATTGTTGTGATTATAACCATTAGATCCCTAATAATATAAGAGGCACATCTTCACGTCAGGGATTAAAGTAACCCTGACTGACATACAAGTGACATGAAGCCTTAACCCTCGTGTAGTCGATAGACTGCAAACCTATATGTACAAGTATTTAATAATTATGGTAACTATTACTGTTAAAACTATTGCTAAATTATTCACATAATGAAATACATTGATATGCCTTTTATGTGCACCTGTCCTCTTGTATTGCAGTGCAGGAAAACGAAGATACTGGTCACTTAAGATACATTCGTAATTGCAACTTTCAGTTACTTAACTTCTATATTTGTTTTCTTTGCATGGAACAGTAAATGCAGATTCTTTTCCCAGTTTTTATATTGATGGATTTACTTCATTATTCCACACGGTGAAGATGTTTAAGTTGGTTTCATATAAGTTGTGTGCGCGCGCGCGCACGTGATGAAGACTGAGGTAAACACAACTGTAAAAACATTATTGATCAATAACATTATCTTTATTGATCAATAACATTATCTTTATTGATCAATAACATCTTTATTGATCAATAACATTATCTTTATTGATCAATAACATTATCTTTATTGATCAATAACATCTTTATTGATCAATAACATTATCTTTATTGATCAATAACATTATCTTTATTGATCAATAACATCTTTATTGATCAATAACATTATCTTTATTGATCAATAACATTATCTTTATTGATCAATAACATTATCTTTATTGATTAATAACATTATTGATCAATAAAACACAGGAGAGATACTCCACTATAAACATCCTTTTCATCATTATATTCAAGGGGCATTTCAGAGTTCATTAATCATCGCCACTCACTAACATCAAAAATTATCATAATTATAATCATAATTTTTAAAGGGGTAGAGGGGTAAGCTAGCGGAAGGCCTCGGTCAGATGACCAAAAACTTCAGCGATGAGTCAGGAAACACTTGTCCTATTTCCTGACAGATCTTACCTAACCTACCCAAGCCACTCAATAGTGAGAGTCACAGTCAAGATTAACTTGCAGTTTAATTTGTAAGTCATAGTACAACCCTCACATCACTGATATCTTTCATAACACTGACTCAGTATATCACTAAATGTTCCTCACTGACTCACAGTTCACTATGACTCAAAACATAAGCAAAATGATACTAACTTATTTGAAGTAATCTTTATATATATAATATATATATATATATAATATATATATATATATATTATATATATATATATATATAAATTAATTAAACCTGGTAAAGTGTATGGTAGAGTTATTATTGAAAGAATTAAGAGTAAGACGGAGAATAGGATAGCAGATGAACAAGGAGGCTTTAGGAAAGGTAGGGGGTGTGTGGACCAGGTGTTTACAGTGAAACATATATGTGAACAGTATTTAGATAAGGCTAAAGAGGTTTTTGTGGCATTTATGGATTTGGAAAAGGCGTATAACAGGGTGGATAGGGGGGCAATGTGGCAGATGTTGCAGATGTATGGTATAGTAGGTAGGTTACTAAAAGCAGTGAAGAGTTTTTACGAGGATAGTGAGGCCCAAGTTAGAGTATGTAGGAAAGAGGGAAATTATTTCCCAATAAAAGTAGGCCTTAGACAAGGATGTGTGATGTCACCGTGGTTGTTTAATATATTTATAGATGGGGTTGTAAGAGAAGTAAATGCGAGGGTCTTGACAAGAGGCGTGGAGTTAAAAGATAAAGAATCACACATAAAGTGGGAGTTGTCACAGTTGCTCTTTGCTGATGACACTGTGCTCTTGGGAGATTCTGAAGAGAAGTTGCAGAGGTTGGTGGATGAATTTGGTAGGGCATGTAAAAGAAGAAAATTAAAAGTGAATACAAGAAAGAGTAAGGTTATGAGGATAACAAAAAGCTTAGGTGATGAAAGATTGGATATCAGATTGGAGGAGAGAGTATGAGGAGGGTGAATGTATTCGGATATTTGGGAGTGGACGTGTCAGCGGATGGGTCTCTGAAAGATGAGGTGAATCATAGAATTGATGAGGGGAAAAGGGTGAGTGGTGCACTTAGGAGTCTGTGGAGACAAAGAACTTTGTCCTTGGAAGCAAAGAGGGGAACGTATGAGAGTATAGTTTTACCAACGCTCCTGTATGGGTGTGAAGCATGGGTGACGAATGTTGCAGCGAGGAGAAGGCTGGAGGCAGTGGAGATGTCATGTCTGAGGGCAATGTGTGGTGTGAATATAATGCAGAGAATTCGTAGTTTGGAAGTTAGGAGGAGGTGCAGGATTGCCAAAACTGTTGTCCAGAGGGCTGAGGAAGGGTTGTTGAGGTGGTTCGGACATGTAGAGAGAATGGAGCGAAACAGAATGACTTCAAGAGTGTATCAGTCTGTAGTGGAAGGAAGGCGGGGTAGGGGTCGGCCTAGGAAAGGTTGGAGGGAGGGGGTAAAGGAGGTTTTGTGTGCGAGGGGCTTGGACTTTCAGCGGGCATGCGTGAGCGTGTTTAATAGGAGTGAATGGAGACAAATGGTTTTTAATACTTGACGTGCTGTTGGAGTGTGAGCAAAGTAACATTTATGAAGGGGTTCAGGGAAACCGGCAGGCCGGACTTGAGTCCTGGAGATGGGAAGTACAGTGCCTGCACTCTGAAGGAGGGGTGTTAATGTTGCAGTTTAAAAACTGTAGTGTAAAGCACCCTTCTGGCAAGACAGTTATGGAGTGAATGATGGTGAAAGTTTTTCTTTTTCGGCCACCCTGCCTTGGTGGGATCGGCCAGTGTGATAATAAAAAAAAATTAATAATATATATATATATATATATATATATATATATATATATATATATATATATATATATATATAATATATATATATATATATATATATGAAGACTAATTTGCAGACAATATTTTAAAAATGTCTAGGAAAAATGTCAAAATTCACATTCTTGTAAGGAGTTCACTATTACTGTAGGTGTAATATACTTAGTTAACAGAATGTTAGAAACCAGTCCCTGGACCCATTTTTTGCCTCTAAATTTTTGACTGACACCCATAAGGTGGGTATAAAGTGCATAGTGAAGCTGTCATATTAACTCAAGCACGAAAGGACAACTTATGAAGGATTATTTTTTTATATATGTACTAAATCCATTAGGACCATTGAGAACAAGAAGTAACAGAGAACTTATGAAGGAAATGCTTGAGGCTGCGGTCCATTACTTATATTACTTTTTATCTGTGCAGGTACCTAACTTACAAGACACTGGACCAATGTTGATGAAAGGGGCAATAAAACGAGAAATTATACTTGTTCCTGGGAAAGAGTTCATAGTGGACTGCAGCAAACCATGCCAGTACATGAGAGCAGCCTTCTCATGCGCCACCTCTGACCAGTTGATGAAGGTACTTACTTTCTGATTATTATTGTAATTAATTGAAAAGCTTTAACAATATTTTTTATTTATTTGTTTTTATTGGCTAGTTAACAATTATGTTGGTTCTCTTGAACACTGTTTTCATGCAATGTCTTCCAGTCTTTCTTGGTTAGTTCCTCTTCTGTCCTTGAAAGTGAGAAATGTGGTGATGATAATTGACATGATTACCATGCACTACAGTCATCTTTTTTAACCCTAGAGTGGTGGAATGGAAAAAAAAGACATGTTCCAAAAGGAGATCTTTTATTGTTAGGATATTTTACCAGCAAGAAACTTTATCAAGTACCACAACATAACACACACTTACATTTCATGAACCGGAAACCAGAACATTTATTATACCAGGAGAATGACGGTGATAGAAGACAGCGTTTTCTATCTTCAGCCATTAAGTACGTGATACCTTGACGAAAAACAAAGAGGGGTGTTCCTTCTTACAAAACCTGTTGCACAAACAGTTTGAGATCAACACACGAAACAGAATATCGGGAATTGTTTGTTTTTTAACGCCTTAAGGGAGGTTCCTTGATGCTGATGAGGGGCTCTTAATTCAAGGCATTGTACCTGTGCACCAATTCTTGAACGACTCCCACCCCCCATGTGTTGTATAACTCCTATGGGTTTAGTATTTTCCTATAAATGTAGTAGTAGTAGTAGTAGTAGTAAGAATAATAATAATAATAACAATAAATTAAATAAATAAATGTCAACCCTGTGGAGAAGCAGATCATAATAATGCAGCTTGCGAGTAACCTTTTACTTTCCGTAACTGCAACAAATCAAACCCTAATTCCTCTCCGTGACCTCTTTTACCTCAAGAAAGCAAAGTGAGCTGTTTAGAGGGGAAAGAAAGGTCTTATAATACGGTAGTGATCCAGCTTCGTCTCCAAGGAAAATATGCACTGGATATCTTACTCCAGAGGCGCCCGACACCCTCAGCGTCTTGGAGAACCCTCTGACACAGCACCCTCCTCCCTCTGTGTTCAACCCTCATGAAGTCTTCACCTCAGATCTTCATATCTTTACGTCCTCTTGTTATTTTCTCTACCTCGTAGCTCACAGCTTTCAGCTGCTCCTTCGGCACTTCCACCACAATCTCATGGACTCAAAAAAGGCACTTTTTTAAAACTCCCTACCATCCTATTGTCCTTCACGATTTTATTTTTCTAACCATCTTTCTCAACCATTGGCTCCTACTTATGTGCCAGTTGTAGAAATGCAATGCATTCATCCTTGCATACTTTTACTTCTTCCTTTGTGTTCCCTTTTCAGGATAATTTCCAGTAAGGAATAACCTCGAAACTGCTGTCAACACAGCTATTGGGTGTGGGAAACTTCACTCTTACATTTCCGAGATACACTTTATCTTGTGGGTATTGTATACCACTTAGTACACTACACTCCACTCACACACGGGCACCACACCGAGAAACACCTGGTACCTCTGTGGGGACTACCAGGTCGCACTATCATTTCCCCATATCTTAATGGACTGTCTTATGTATCAAAGACCTTGTAGAATTCACTTCCGACATCTACAATACCTTGATGCATTCACTCAAACTGAAATTACATTAAGTCCCACTGCGCCAAGTTTTACTTCAATTTTGCACCCACAATAACTCCTCCACTAACCCATTACCCTGAATACTCCTACTTGATCCATATGGGGTTAGTGCATCTTTATTTAAAAATAAAAATAAAGTAATGGCAAGGCAACCACATAGGAACAGCGGGTAGAGGAAATGAGAGGGCGCAAACTGAAAGCTAGAAAGTTCATTATAGTCACTTGAAGTTGTCCAACTTGAGGCAGTGTTAATATCACGCCATAATGATGCAATCACTTTCTGGTTGTCCCTGCTAGCAGAGATATCGGTGAAGGTGCCCACAAAGAGAAGACTAGATCTCAGAAGGAAGACTCAAGAGGAGGTTGTTTATGACGATTAGGAAGAGGGTAGTGTTTTGTACACATACGTATTATTTTGGTATGAACAAAGTTAGGAGAAAGGTTGTTATTGACTTAAAATACAATAAAAAGCTATGTGCAGAAATATCTTTCCATCAGTAAAATGATTTCGACAAGGCAACAGCAGGCCTCTGAAGCCAAAATAATGAGAGAAGATTAATAGATGGTCACAAGCCTCCTCAAACATGGGTATGCTCTTGGCACGCCAGAACAGTGTGGAAAAATTAGTAGCCAATTTAACAATAGTACCAGTAGTTTTGTTTTTAAGTTTTATTCTTTTTTTCTGCAGGGAATGGAGAGTCTTGCTAAACTTATAAGAGAGGAATTAACAGTACAGAACATGCAAGCTATGAAACCATAAACCAAGTGACCCAGGACACCGTAGTCTTGATCACAACATTGCTGAAATGCTGCTTCACTACGCTTACTGAACTTCTAAATGGAATTTGAAGTACATTTGTGTTGCCCTTATACATTTATTTGAATTATTATATTCATGGAGGTTCTCTAAACCCGTAGGGGTCATACAATATCTTGGAAATTGAAGGTGATTAAACCTTCAGTTCGCGAGGCTGTGTGTGTGTGTGTGTGTGTGTGTGTGTGTGTTAGGAGTAAATTAAGACGAATGTTTTTTAGGACCTATCGAGCTGTTGTGAAGCGATTCAGGGAAACCGGTTAGCCGGAGGTGGGAAGGGTTTGGGATATTGACTGTTTGGAGTGACGTATAAACTGTCGTATCTGAGTGCCTTTGCAGATATATACATACATATATATATATATATATATAATTATATATATTATATATATATATATAGATATAATATATATATATATATATATATATATATATATATAATATAATATATATATATATATATATAATATAAATATTTTAATATATATATAATTTTATATATATATATATATAAAATATATATTATATATATATATATATAATATATATATAATATAATAATATATATAATATATATATATATATATATATATATATATATATATATATATTATATATAATATATATTCAACACTTTCACATCATTCACACATAATCACTGTTTTTGCAGAGGTGCTCAGAATACAACAGTTTAGAAGTATATACGTATAAAGATACACAACATATCCCTCCAAACTGCCAGTATCCCAAACCCCTCCTTTAGAGTGCAGGCATTGTACTTCCCATTCCCAGGACTCAAATCCGGCTATATATAAATAACCGGTTTCCCTGAATCCCTTCACTAAATATTACCCTGCTCACACTCCAACAGCTCGTCAGGTCCCAAATACCATCCGTCTCCATTCACTCCTGTCTTCAAATTGCAGAATGTACTTCATATGTATCTCATACTTCACTATTGTTATAAGTAAACTTAATACACTACATTTGTACACAGAGGAGCTTCTGTAGGATCCTTAAGCCTACAATAGCTGCCAGTAATGAATGGGTTCACAAAAAGATAATTTGAAGATGCAGTAATTTGTGCGTAACTAGCGTGTAGAAATTTATAATATAAATTCTCAAACAAAATACCTTTATTTACAGTTCCAAAGGATGTTCACTATACGAGTATTTAAGTTTTTTAATGAACACCGGCTTTATAATATCAGGAGGCAATGTTCTAAACTACTAAGAGTTAGTTATCGACAAATGAAATTCAAGTTAGAATTCCACATCAGAGACTATTGAGGAAACTTAAGGCACACGGAATAGGAGGAGAAATTTTTTCTTGGGTAGATGCATGGTTGACAAATAGGCAGCAGAGAGTTTACATATATGGGGAAAATCAGAATGGGGGCACGTCACAAGCGGTGTTCCACAGGGGTCAGTGTTGGGCCCATTGTTGTTCACAATTTACATAAATGACATAGATGAGGGAACAAATAGCGACAAAAGCAAATTTGCTGATGACACCAAAATAGGCCGTCCAATTCATTCTAATGATGACACTAGAGCACTTCAGGATGATTTGACTAGACTGATGCAATGGTCGGAGAAGTGGCAGATGCAGTTTAATATAGACAAAATGCAAAGTTCTAAATGTTGGACAGGAAAATAACCATGCCACATATAAACTAAATAATGTATATCTTAATACTACTGATTACGAAAAGGATTTAGGAGTTCTGGTTAGCAGTAATCTAAAACCAAGACAACAGTGCATTAGTGTTCGCAATAAAGCTAACAGAATTCTTGGCTTCATATCTAGAAGTATAAATAATAGAAGTCCTCAGGTTGTTCTTCAACTCTATATATCCTTGGTTAGGCCTCATTTAGACTATGCCGCTCAGTTCTGGTCACCGTATTACAGAATGGATATAAATGCACTGGAAAACGTACAGAGGAGGATGACAAAGATGATCCCATGTATCAGAAATCTTCCCTGTGAGGATAGACTGAGGGCCCTAAATCTGCACTCTAGAAAGGCGTAGACTTAGGGGGGATATGATCGAGGTGTATAAATGGAAAACAGGAATAAATAAAGGGGATGTAAATAGCGTGCTGAAAATATCTAGCCAAGACAGGACTCGCAGCAATGGTTTCAAGTTGGAAAAATTCAGATTCAGGAAGGATATAGGAAAGCACTGGTTTGGTAATAGAGTTGTGAATGAGTGGAACAAACTCCCGAGTACAGTTATTAAGGCTAAAACGTTGTGTAGTTTTAAAAATAGGTTAGATAAATACTCAAGTGGGTGTGGGTGGGTGTGAGTTGGACCTGACTAGCTTGTGCTGCTGGGTCTGGTGCCGTGCTCCTTCCTTGAGTGGAGGTGACGAGACTGGGTGGGTCATTGGGCTAATCTAGGGAAAGGGGGACATAGACCTGCTCCGCATGGGTCAGATAATACACTGTTGCAGTGTTCCTTCTTTCTTATGTTCTTATGCTTCTAAAGTTAATTTTTGTGAACGCACTATTGGCATCCATTTAGGATCCTGGTGTTACCTTTTCGCTGGACAGTTAAGTACCAGTTCACTTTTGCTGCACCCCTAGAACGACAGCGCCAGACGGAATGTACATATTAACTAGACTCGTTACTCACATTGCCAATGATTCATATAATGAAGTTGTCATTTTTACCCCCCCCCCCCCATCCCCCCGCTTGCTCCTACCAATACCTGGAGGTTACCTGGAGGTTATTCCGGGGATCAACGCCCCCGCGCCCGGTCCACGACCAGGCCTCCCGATGGATCAGGGCCTGATCAACCAGGCTGTTTTCTGCTGGCCGCACGCAGTCCGACGTACGAGCCACAGCCCGGCTGATCCGGCACTGACTTTAGGTATCTGTCCAGCTCTCTCTTGAAGGCAGCCAGGGGTTTATTGGCAATTCCCCTAATGCTTGATGGGAGGCTGTTGAACAGTTTTGGGCCCCGAACACTTATGGTGTTTTCTCTTAGTGTACCAATGGCGCCCCCTACTTTTTATTGGCGGCATTTTGCATCGCCTGCCAGTCTTTTACTTTCGTAGGGAGTGATTTCTGTGTGCAGATTTGGGACCATTCCTTCCAAGATTTTCCAAGTGTAGATTATGATATATCTCTCCCTCCTGCGTTCCAACGAGTACAAGTCAAGTACTTTCAAGCGTTCCCAGTAGTTTAAGGTGCTTGACAGAACTTATACGTGCAGTAAAGGATCTCTGTACACTCTCTAGATCTGCGATTTCACCTGCTTTGTATGGAGATGTTAATGTACAGCAGTATTCCAGCCTAGAGAGAACAAGTGATTTGAAAAGGATCATCATGGGCTTGGCATCTCTCGTTTTGAAAGTTCTCATTATCCATCCTATCATTTTCTTTGCACGTGCGATCGTGGCACTGTTGTGATCCTTGAAAGTGAGATCCTCAGACATTACTACTCCCAGGTCCCTTACATTATTTTTCCGCTCTATTGTATGGCCGGAGTCAGTAGTATACTCTGTTCTAGTTATTATCTCCTCCAGTTTTCCATAACGGAGTAGTTGAATTTGTCCTCATTGAACATCATATTGTTTACCGTCGCCCACTGGAAAACTTTGTTTATATCTTCTTGGAGGTTAACCGCGTCCTCAGCAGATGACAGCCTCATGCAGATCCTAGTATCATCCGCAAAGGATGATACGGTGCTGTGGTGTATATCTCTGTTTATGTCTGATATGAGGATAAGGAATAAGATGGGGGCGAGTACTGTGCCTTGTGGAACAGAGCTCTTCAACTATGGCAGCCTCCGATTTAACTCTGTTGACCACTACTCTTTGTGTTCGATTTGTTAGGAAGTTGAAGATCCATCTCCCCACTTTCCCAGTTATTCCTTTAGCACGTATTTTATGGGCTATTACACCATGATCGCATTTGTCAAATGCTTTTGCAAAGTCTGTGTATATTACATCTGCATTCTGATTTTCTTCCAGTGCATCCAAGGCCATGTCATAGTGATCCAGCAGTTGTGAGAGGCAGGAGCGACCTGCCCTGAACCCATGTTGCCCTGGATTGTGCAGATTTTGGGAATCCAGGTGATTTGCAATCCTGCTTCTTAGCACTCTTTCAAAGATTTTTATGATGTGGGACGTCAGAGCTATTGGTCTATAGTTCTTAGCTAATGCTTTGCTGCCACCTTTATGGAGCGGGGCTATATCCGTTGTTTTAAGTGACTGTGGAATCTCACCCATGTCCAAGCTCCTCCTCCATAGTGTACTTAGGGCACGCGAGAGGGGTTTCTTGCAGTTCTTAATGAAAACAGAGTTCCACGAGTCTGGGCCCGGGGCTGAGTGCATAGGCATGTTGTCAATGGCTTTTTCGAAATCTATCGGAGTTAGGGTAATGTCGGAAATCTGGCATACATTTATGGAGTTTTGAGGCTCATTCATGAAGAAATCATTTGGGTCGTCGATCCTCAGACCGATTAGTGGTTCACTAAACACAGAGTCGTACTGGGATTTCAATATTTCACTCATTTCCTTGTTGTCGTCTGTGTAAGTCCCATCCTGTCTGAGTAAGGGCCCGATACTAGATGTGGTATTTGCCTTGTTTTTGGCATATGAAAAAGAAATATTTTGAATTTCTTTCAATTTCACTAATAGCTTTAAGCTCCTCCTGCCTCTCCTGGTTCCTGTAAGAGTCATTTAGCTTAAGTTCGATAGTTTCCACTTCCCTGGTCAGCGCCTCCTTTCGTGTATCAGATATTCTAGCACTCCTGAGGAGCTCAGTGACTCTTCGTCGTCTTCTGTAGAGGGAGTATCTTTTTCTCTCCAGTTTACTCCTGCTCTTCTTCTTTCTTAGGGGAATATGCCTAGAACATGCTTCGGCTACCAGGAAGTTGATCCTTTCAAGGCACTGGTTTGGGTCCATGTCATTTAAGACATCTTCCCAACATGTTTCGTTTAGGACATGGTTTACCTGGTCCCAGTTGATGTTCTTGTTGTTGAAATTGTATTTTGTGAAGACACCTTCACCGGTACATGCATTCTGCTGTTCAGGACCCCTATGCATGTACGTCTGGACTTCGATTAGATTGTGATCGGAATTAGTTGTTTTTGATATTCTTATGTCTCTTATCAGGTCCTCATTATTTGTGAAGATAAGGTCAAGTGTGTTTTCTAGTCTTGTTGGCTCCACTATCTGCTGGCTTAAGGAGTGTTTTTCGCAGAGACTTAGTAGCTCATGTGTGTGAGACCTTTCATCTGCGCTACCTCCAGGGATTGTTTCAGCTATAACATTATTTGCTACATTTTTCCATTTTGTATGCCTTAGGTTGAAATCACCAAGCAGTAAGATGTTTGGGGA